TTGGTCGATGTCTTCGTCGCCGAAGTCCGAGTCGATGACAGTCTCGTTGTCGTCGTCTTCGGCCAAATCCATGGCCAGTTTGTCGGCAAACGGATTGGTCGGTGACAACGGACCTAATGGTGACAAATGAATGCAATTTTCAATACAAACTCAATTGTCGAGTGATTTACTCACCGAAAGAGTCCTCCGTTTCCATTGCATCCAACGATTCAAACAATTATTAATTGTCTTTTCAATGGATCTCTTGTTCTTGTGTTTACTTTTTGTGTTCAATACAAATGTAAACACAAAGAGTGAAAGTTTGGCAAACTTTGGGAAATTTACCACTCATTGCAAAGTATGGCAATATTTCCCACAACTTTCCACTATATCTCTATATTTCCAACGCTTATATACAGTACTATCTGTTTATAGGTTACGAATATATTCACACTTTTTTTGTTGAAAATTTAGTTTAATTAAAACTATTTTATTTGATATTAAAATTAATTAAATATGTAAATATTTTCTTTGTTTATATAAAGTTAAAAAATTTTAATTAATAAAATAACTTAAATATAACTGTATTGGAATTAAACTATTATTAAATTATTAGTAAATTATTTATTAAATTAAAATTTTTATTTAGTTTCATTTAAAAACCATTCAATATTTAGTTTTGTCAAATATTTTCATAAAACTATTTTAAATTAGTTAATTGTGAATGACCTAGATGATATTATATTGTTTTATCATCATCATTTTAATTATCAGTAAATTTAAATTAAATGGTATATATTTGGTGTTAAATATTTATCTTTTGTAAAATCTTTGGTGAGGTTTGAGACACTTATTGCTCGATCGATAATGTGAGGGCACATCTAATGGACATTTCTTTATATTTAGATTTGTTATAATTAAGAGTTCTTTCATTAAGCACTTGATAGAAATTATATAATTTCCTATTCTTTATGCCAACAGTTTTCCAAAATATTTAGAAATAAATAAAATTATTGTTAAAATAATATTTATTTAACTTTTAAAGTTACTCTTAAATGGATTTTAAAATATTTTAAGATAACAAAAATATGTTAAATGTTATGAATTTCGTCAAAAAATCAATAATATAATGGAAGTCTCTTTCAATTCAAATCTAATTAAATAGTGTTTTTCTAAACTTTAAAATTTATATAATTTATTTAAATCACATGTTTTTTGGTTAAGAATTTGAATATTTTTGTTATAAACCTTTATCCGGGAATTATTTGTGGAAAATATACTAAACTTTTATTTACATTCTTTAGCACAGAATTATCACATGAATTGAATGCCAAAAATATTTTATTTTTTATGTGAAAATAATTGAGTTTTAATATAAGGAACTTATAAACAAATGGTTTGATTCTTAGCTAATGATAGTATTTGTTATGAAAGGGAAGGACAGCCTATCGTCTAAAATAACTTCACATTACAATCGGAGTCCGTCTTTCAAATAGAAGTGTCAGTAGTTTTGAAACTCATTTCTCATACAAAACAGAAAAGCGATGAAAAGATCCAAAAATAGTCCAATAGTTTCGTGAGTTTTGACAAAAAAGGGTGAAATCAGTGCGCATTTGACGACAACTCTATCACAGACTTTGTATTTTCAGTTTTAGTTAAAAATCATTATCTTTTGAATCGATATTACAATTGATTCACGAATACAATGAAGAGTTTGACATTTGTATTGCTAATTGTTTTACCGGTTTCTCTCATCTCATCGATCGTCAAGAGAAGTATTGACGACAATAGAGTCACTTCAAGGCTCGCACTCAACCGAAATCACATCCAAACCGATCCCAAACTCTATCCCATTATTTTAGGTGAGTTTCCCATTCAGTCATCTTTTTAATTCTCGTACTCTCTATCCATACAATCAATCATTTATTGATTATTTCTATTCAATTATTTATTAAAATTATTATATTCTGTAATAAAATGTACTTATATTTGAATCTCGATAAATATATTCTGTTATTTTGTGTCAACTTTAATTGCAAAATAAATAATTTCTATAAAAAAATATTATGATTTAATTTAACAAGTGATTGATTACAAGTTAGTAGTGCACTTTTATACAACAGACCTTGATGTTAATTGTGGAATTAAATGCAATTTACTGCTCGTATATATAGTTTTATGGAAATATTTGAGCAATGATTATATGTCTATTAAATTTGATATTTTACTGTTTGTGAATTCATTGTTTCATTGATTATTTCATTGATCGTATCGTAAATTCACAAATTATCGTTAATTTTGTTTATTTAGTTATTGTTGAAATGAAATCACATCTATTATAGATGATCTATATAAACAAAATCATTAATATCAATAATATAGCAATATTTACCACTGGTTTGAAATATGTACATAAAACTTATGTAATACCATTACAAATGAATTAAGTTAAATGAGAGTTTAATTGTTACAAATTTTTAATTGTAAAGATACGGAAAGTAGATATTTGCTTGAAAGACATTTGATCAAAGTACACTTGCTCGAAAATATTTTATTTAATTTGCTTTAAATTACAAATATTATTACTAATTAAGTTAATATGAGTTATGTAGCTTAAGTTAGGTTTAATTAGTTAATTTTTTGGAGCAAATATCGCACACCCTAAAAATACAACCATTTAATACAGTATCATATTCAAATATTAATGTATTCTATAGTTTTTTACAAGTGAAATTAAAATTCTATTTTTAAAATGACTAATAGCTATAATTAGTAACAAATCAATAAATCAACAGTCATTAATAATGACTCATTATATAGCAATCACTATTAANTGTGCAGTTCCGGGAGACGGTGGCAGTCAGATCGATGCGAAGCTGGATAAGGCTGAAGTTCCCCATTATTTTTGCGATAAGAAAACCGATGAATACTTTAACCTATGGCTAAATTTGGCACTTTTGGTGCCATTTGTGATCGACTGTTGGATCGATAATATGAAACTCGTTTATGACAACACAACCCGAACCACATCTAACTCTATTGGCGTTGAGACCCAAGTGCCCGGTTTGGGCAATACATCGACCGTCGAGTACGTAGACCCGAGTCGAGTACCCGTTTCCGGTTATTTCAATAATCTCGTCGCACAACTCGTGAAGTTTGGTTATGAGAGAGGAGTGACACTCAGAGGAGCCCCGTATGACTTCCGCAAAGCCCCGAGTGAGTGAACATTTTATTTAAGTTCTATAGACTTTACTTTGTTTGAGACTAATATGATATTATAAACTTGTAGATGAGTTGTCCGATTACTTGGATCAGGTGAAGGCATTAGTTCAGGACACTTACGAGAAGAACAATAAGACAAAAGCTATTCTATTGTGTCATTCAATGGGATGTCCGACAATGTTATACCTATTGAATAGTCAAACGCAACGGTGGAAAGACAAGTATGTGAAGTCATTGGTAACGCTGGCGGGTCCGTGGGGTGGGGCCGTCAAGTCGCTCAAGGCTTTCGCTTCGGGAGACAATTTCGGTGTTGTCGTCGTTCCCTCTCTTACTATACGCGAAGACGAGCGAACTTTTCCGAGTTTGGCGTATCTTTTGCCCAGCGATAAGGTATGGGAAGCCGACGAAGTGCTGATGGAGTCAACGCTCAGGAACTATACGGTCAGTAATTACAGAGATTTTTTTGAAGACATCAATTATATGACGGGTTATAATATGTGGCTCGACGTCCGGAATCTGACATATAATATGACACCTCCGGGCGTCGAAGTGCATTGTCTTCACGGCCACGGACTCGACACTATGCATAAACTGGTCTACAATAAGGGCAAGTTTCCCGACTCTCAGCCGCATGTGGTCTACGGTGACGGCGACGGCACTGTTAACGTCAAAAGTCTCAACGCATGCCTCCAATGGAAGGGAAAGCAGAAGCAAAACGTCTTTCACCAAAGTTATGTCAATTCGGATCATATGCTTATAATGAGTGACCCAAGAGTTATCAATTATATCCAAAATATAGTTGTCATTCATTAAAACCAAATTTTTAAAATTTTGTCGGCTTTGAAAACGAATTAATTTTAATCGCTTTTTTATTACTTATGTTTTTAGTTTTTTGCTATATTTATATTCAACAATATTATTGTCAATAATTTATTGTTAATTTAATTAACGTAAAATTATGAATGTTGGAGACAATTAGTTTAATGGCATTGTCAGACATTTATCATGTGTTTGTTTGTCATATTAGTTTGAGAGAAGTTGATAAATATATTATTAATAAAATTAAATAACAATTAAAAAATAATCATAATTACAGTAATTGTATTAAATATCTTAAGGAAAAATATATTTTTTCAATAAACTTATTAATAAAATTATTATTATTTAAAAAATGTCAATTTAAATATGAAATAAATATTTACAAATAATTGTTACAAAATTCATGATAACAAAACTAATAATTAATGAATAAATATGTAATTTGTAAATTTTAACATTTGTGTATATTTTAGACAGTAAATAATTTATTTTAAATTATTATTTTACGATTCACTTTTCATATTAAAATAACATAATAAATATTACATTAAATTTTAAAATTTAATATACTTTACATATAGGTACTGTATATAATAACAACAGGTAATGTGCAATATTAAAGTATACAGAATATTCTTAATGATATTTCATAATATATAATTTATAATATTGCATAATATATTCTGGGTTTTAAGAATGTAAAATTAGATTAGTTTTTAATTATTGATTTGATTTCGTGGAAATATAAGAAATTTGATAGAAAATTAAATTCAAAAGTTAGAAAATTCAATATAAAATAAATGTGATATCCAATAGATATTTATAACTTTTGCCCAACAATGTTATACAGTATTAATGTAATATTTTAATATATTGAATACATATCTTTTCAAAAGGGTTGGTCGAAAATAATGTCTGATTTGTTATGATATTATTGTAAAAAAGCCACAAAAAGTGCATTCATTTAAACGCAAAAAATCGATTTAAGTGGAGAATAATATAGTGGAAAGGTATGTATTCTGTGGTATACCTGTGCGTTAGGGATAGGGCGCACATGCAGTCACTTATTTGCCATTGAATGTCAAAATACATTTACAGGTAATACAGTATCATATTTATTGATGGATTACTGAAACAGTGAATTGCAATTAGAATTTGTTATCAAAAATTTACAATAATTTTCATTGAAATGTTAAATCAAAAATCAATGAAATGGACGCCTGAGTGACACTGAAAATGGCATTAATTAAAAACAAGATAAGTGTTTTGACTAAAAAAGCAGATCCCAATCGACAGAATCCCATTCGCGTCAATGGCTGGACATATCCTTTCCATTGGCTTCAAATCATTGCATGGATTTTCTATTTGCTTATGAGTTTGATTTGTTTCACATTCATTGTGCCCACACTTCCCAACACAACCATCAGATGTGTAGTACTTGGGATCAAAGTATTTCTATTTATCGTGCATTTTATAACCCATGTGTTTGCGGTGACAATAAATCCTGTGGACAATAATGTTGCCGAGAAATTAGACGCGAGCCGAGACCGGCCAAAGTTTGACCGCTCGAAGCACTCGCATGTCATTGAAAACCAGTTCTGTTACATATGCGAGACGACCGTCGGCTCTAAGTCCAAACACTGCAGTCTCTGTAATAAATGTGTCTCAGAATTTGATCATCACTGCAAATGGCTTAACAATTGTGTCGGCGGCAAGAATTATAGGTATTATCAACTTATTTCTAAAGCCATTGTGTGCATATTCTGATCATGTTGTATGTTTTTAGATGGTTCATATACTGTGTAGTGTCTGCACTCTTAGGATCGGTAGTCATTTTCATCAATTGTCTCGTCTTAACGATTGCATATTTTTCAGCCGACAGTTGGCTTTACCGTATGTTTTATGCGCTTTTCTTGATTTAAAGCTAACTTACTATTTGTTTATTATAGACCAAAACTCAACATTACTTTTCTTTAACAATCAGTCAAATGTCAATAAGATTTTACAAATTGTATGGATTGTTGTCATAATATCATCGCTTATATTATCAGTGATTGCTGTCGTATTATTAACACATTTAGTCGGTTTTCATCTATTTTTGAGTAAGTTTTCAAAATTTTCATTTGATATGATATGCCATAAATCCTTTGAATAATATTTTGGCAAAATATGTTAATTAATGAAATAGCGTTTTGTGTTGTTATATGAAATAAGATAATGTTTGACTTCTTTGTGTCAAACATCCCTTTTTATGAAATATTGTATTAGAAATTCAATGCCATTATTACTAAAATTCTTAGAAAAATTCCACTATTTTGTAAGTTTTATATCAAATGCCAATTAATTTGAACAACTTATCAAATATATTGTTTAGAAATCCTTGATTTTAGTTTTAATAAATTACACATAAAATTAATTTTCATAATAAATTAAAATATAAAAACTTCAAAAATACTGTACTCTATATTTATAACCCACAGAATATACAAACAGGAATCTATAGATTAAGTATCATTGCGTTTACTGCCATTATTATTAAAATTTATGCATGTTGCACTTTTAAGTATTACAAAAGTTATAACATTCATAACGCATTTATACCATAAAATAGTTGATTAAATCTATGATTTTGATTAACAGATTTTATTGCAGACATTCGCGTGTTTTCAAGTCATTTATTTATGAGATTTGATTATTCCTATAAATAGACTATGGATTCACTGATTATAAGATTCACTTATTTAGTGTCTATTGTGACAAATGTTAGTACTGTATAGCTATGAAGGAATCAATAAACGAATCTCATTTCTTACCAATGTTAGCATTCACTATAAAGTACTCACATTTATTATTCAAATTATTATACCATTAAATAATAACAAAATTATTTTATACGTTATAACGTTATATACGTTATTTTGTATGTTATAAGTTATAACTTATAACTTTATATACAGTAGCAAATTTTCATAAAATGCAAAATAAATAGTTTAACATCTATGAAAAATTTTAACATCAATAAATTTTAATTATAATAAATATAATAAGATGTGATATATAGGAATACGAAAAAATATGCATAATTCTAAATAAAATGTACAATTTATTGATTAAATTGCATAAAATACTAATGTATATTGTATGACAGAATGTATGGGGCTTTCAACGTACGAATTCGTGGTAAATCACCGCAAAGACAAACCAAAGAAGTCATTGATGTCCGGAATGCTCAACGATTCCGAACGAAACAAATTAGTTAACTATTTAACACGTCTACAGAAATTGATGGCAATTGTTGTTTGCACTAAAAAACGGGTCAAACCATCGGATATCGCAGATATCAATAGTCCTAATCATATGAAACGCTCAAAAGACCAACAATTCATCGAATCCGTGGTTAAAGACGTGACGAACGGAGAAAATGGTGAGACATTTGAGATCTCGGATGTCATGAAAAGTATAGAAAATTCAAATAACGAAATGAAAGCCAAAAATGAAACCATGTTTTCGCCTCAAAAAAGTGGTCAACAAATTGAAAGACAATTAAACGAATTAAACAAAAACAATGAAAAATTTGTTAAGAAAATCAACCCAGAAATCGATACAACGACTGCCAGTCCTAAAGCAAAGACATCGCCGGAAGCGGGAGTTGTGTCGGATGGCAGCGATGGTGTGGCCAAAAGTGAGCCTATATTTAAGCCATTGAACGAGAGTCTTGACGATAGCGGTCGCACGAGTCGACTGTCATTCGTGAATAAAAGTGATTTCATTGTGCCGTCGGTTTGGTCGGAGTCGGGCTTCGCGTCCATCCCTTCCAACCAATTGTACATTCGTTACAATACTTATAAACAAAACGATAATAACGTTAGACTCAATCGATTGCATCGAAAGCGACAGCAAATCAATCATGAAATGAATGCAAACAATGATAACACAAACACTATTACCACTAATGCATGAAATAAATCAATTGAAGTGCAATTCATATCCAAATTAAATGTCTTTTAATAGTGAACTAAAACTACAATACATTTCAATAAAGATATAAATTTATATTTATTTGCAAAACTAATACAAGAAAAAA